AAATTTCTCCAAAACACAGGTAAAAATTGTATAATATGCACCTTTGGCTGTTATTGGAAATATTTTCAAAACTGAAGAAAGACAAAGTAAAATAACATTGAATAAGGTTATTTAGTATGTAATATATACTAAAACACATACTTTATATGGATATTTATTGCATTTATATCAAAATATAAAGAACACATTTTCTCACCTAAATACATAAATATTGACAGTACAACACTTATATTGAAAATTGCTACTTTGCAATCATACATCTTTTGATGCAGTTTTCTGGAAGTGATACATTTTGATTGCATATATCTATTTAAACTTACAAAGACAGATATCAACATATAATGTAAAAAAAAATAAAAAAAAATCCAAATACATTGATTTTGACACAATATATACATAGTCAATTCCTTAAAATTAACAATGTTTTTTTAATCATTTTTTTCATACAATGATTTTATAACATCTATGTATATATATCTTGCTGTTGACCCCTATATGATGTCAAAATTCTGCTAGACCTTCGTTTTAATGTGAGTCAGGCTATAATGTTTGATATACTTAAGGACACTGGTGTTTGCTTATTACCCAGGGTAAGACATGCCCTTGGCAAATAACCACATATATAGCACAATAACAGCTACATGTACAGTTAAAACAAACAGGATGACGTCAAGACAAGTTTGTAAATGTAACCCCATTGCTTTGAGTGCCAACTGAAAGCAGTTCAATGTTTAAATGTACCAGCTACAATAATTATCACTCCACGGCAAGGGCTTGACCATCAGTAAGGTTCCACAAGCAATGAGTAACAAATTCTCTTTTTTCAAAGTTATCTGTACTTTCTCCATTTGAAAGAATTTTAGAAAACTCCAAACAAATAAGTTCAATTAAGTGGGTTTTTTTTATGATCAATGGTACACTGTCTTCTTAACGTTTCTCCAAATAAAACACCCTTTTCCTTTGGAAAATATGAAATGATTTTCCTGTGAGTGCACCTCAACATCTAAATGCCTTTTTGGCTTTTTCATAACCCTTAGAATAACATATACAAAATGTACCTTTATTCTAAAAAGCCATATCATAATAAATGCCATCTTTGCCACTATTTTATTGATTCATTTCAATAAAATTTGCATCGAGACTGTCTAACCAGTTCACCCAAAAATCTTGAGCCTGTGTAATACTGTACAACAGTGTACTTGTGTTAGGACCAGAATCAGCCAATGTCAGACTGCAGTAACATACTTGTGTTAGGACCAAAATCAGCCAATGTCAGACTGCAGTAACAAACGTGTGTTAGGACCAGAATCAGCCAATGTCACACTGCAGTAACATACTTGTGTTAGGACCAGAATCAGCTAATGTCACACTGCAGTAACATACTTGTGTTAGGGCCAGAATCAGCCAATGTCAGACTGCAGTAACATACTTGTGTTAGGACCAGCATCAGCCAATGTCAGACTGCAGTAACATACTTGTGTTAGGACCAGAATCAGCTAATGTCAGACTACAGTAACATACTTGTGTTAGGACCAGAATCAGCCAATGTCAGACAGCAACAACATACTTGTGTTAGGACCAGAATCAGCTAATGTCACACTGCAGTAACATACTTGTGTTAGGACCAGAATCAGCCAATGTCAGACAGCAGTAACATATATACTTGTGTTAGGACCAGAATCAGCCAATGTCAGACGGCAGGGACATACTTGTGTTAGGACCAAAATCAGCCAATGTCAGACTGCAGTAACATCCTTGTGTTAGGACCAGAATCGGCCAATATCAGACATCAGTAACATACTTGTGTTAGGACCAGAATAAGCCATAGTCAGACTGCAATAACATACTTGTTTTAGGACCAGAACCAGCCAATGTCAGACTGCAGTAACATACTTGTGTTAGGACCAGAATCGGCCAATATCAGACAGCAGTAACATACTTGTGTTAGGACCAGAATCAGCCATAGTCAGACTGCAATAACATACTTGTGTTAGGACCAGAACCAGCCAATGTCAGACTGCAGTAACATACTTGTGTTAGGACCAGAATCAGCCAATGTCACACCGCAGTAACATACGTATGTTAGGACCAGAATCAGCCAATGTCAGACTGCAGTAACATACGTATGTTAGGACCAGAATCAGCCAATGTCAGACTGCCGTAACATACTTGTGTTAGGACCAGAATCAGCCAGTGTCAGACGGCAGTGACATACTTGTGTTAGGACCAAAATCAGCCAATGTCAGACTGCAGTAACATACTTGGGTTAGGACCAGAATCAGCCAATGTCAGTCTGCAGTAACATACTTGTGTTAGGACCAAAATCAGCCAATCTCAGACTGCAGTAACATACTTGTGTTAGGACCAGAATCAGCCAATGTCACACCGCAGTAACATACGTATGTTAGGACCAGAATCAGCCAATGTCAGACTGCAGTAACATACTTGCTAACCTTTTGAAATTTCCATGGAGGAGATTCTGCAAGCTCAAAATTAAAAGGTGTGTATATATACCCTCTAGGTATAAAAAAACCTCTTTAAAATGTCATCTTTTGAGTTGTTCTTTCAGAGGATGTCAAACATTTTTAGAATACAGAAATAGTTTGGCAAATCAAATTACTGGCTGCAAAACGCTTAATTTCATGGACCAAAATCGAGAGTCTCCCTCCAAAATAGGGAGACTTGACAAGTATGTAGTATTGTACACATCACATCTGACTGATAACACTTTTTTTTCTTTTCAGCCTTTCTGTTGCACTTGCATAACAGAAAATGGGTTTGTTGTTATCTACATACAAGACCTTAACCTTTTACCACTGTACACCATTATGGACTCATCCAAATCAATGCATGGTAGAGTCAACTATAGCTGCAAAGGGGTGAAAGGGTTAACTTCCTCTCAAACCTCAATGTCATTTTTTCATTCAAACGATATTTAGAAATATTCAGTTGGCCTTATATGTGTAAAACTTAAGAAACCTCCCTTAACCTAAATATCTAGATACAAATATTTGGAAGCTTACTCATTTGATTAATGTCATGTACAAAGTATGTATAGTGCTTTACCAATTTAAAAATAAAAGTGACACCAAATAGATCTGAAAGCTCAACATTTGTTAAAAGACACAAGACAAAAACTTTCAAAAGGAATGCACAGTAACAACAGTAAATACGATGTTAACTTAAACATATATGCAGGATTAAGAAAATCTATTACCTGTAACTGAGCGAGATCGGGTTATCTCAGTCCAGGGTTAACATTCTGTAACGAAATCCCAACTGAGGCGTAAATCAATGTTGGGATGTTACAGAATCTTAGCCCAAGACTGAGATAACCTGATATTGCTCAGTTTCAGGTTATTGATTTTTTTTTTCTCGCACCTTTTAGTTCGAAAAAAACTTTTCAATTTTGCTAAAAACTACAAGTATCCCGCCTTGGACCTCAAATGATAATGACCTCTTCACTACATTTAAATGCTTCCACGTATAAACGTAGTCCGTCCACACATTGATTACAACGTATTTCACAGTGTAGATTATATTTTATCTAGAACATCAAATATCTAACAACACCAAAACTATACATATATATTTTGACAAAACCGAATTAGTCAGCAAGATTTAGTATACCCCATATTTGTAAACAGAGTTTGCGCAAAAAAAAATAATCTCATCTTTCTAACGTGTGTGGTAAATATATCGTAAAAGGTTTTGATTTCATCACATTGCGGAATCAGTGTTTTCCAAATTTGTGACGTCACGTCATTGTTGAGCCATAGTGACGCCACGCTCATGTAAGATAGACTCAGCAAGCATGGTTATCTTACTATCTTACATGACCGGATATGAGAGAAAACACAGTTCCCTGAGGTTCATTGGAGAAATTCCACAATGGCCCTCGAATACCATCACAAGTCATTTGCTACAGGGATGGTATTCTACTTGTAGCCATTGCGAGGAATTCAGGACGGATATTATATTGTGTGTTTTCTGTGTCCTAATAGCAAGATGGGAAGCTGTAATGCACTCTCTGGCCTCTCTCTGGACAGCCATTCCATATTATAGCACATTTCCATAGTCGCCCAGATATCACTAACGCATGGCCATCTTTCAGACATCTGTCATCAGAAACACAGCAACTGACCAATGACAACTGTTGTTACAACACCAGATGTTGTAGAATATATGATTAAATGATTATGAACTTTTTACATAGTGAATATGTTGAGGACTGTTAAAGTATTAATATAAATATATTAGAGAAATGGGGCAAGGGTGGGTGGGTGGGAGTGGAGGTCAGGAAGGCACTATTAATTAATTCTATGGTGGAATGACCTCCTCGAGTCCAAAGCAATTGTTAACATTTCAATTATGTATCCCAGAGAAAAAAATAAGAACTTGTGAAGGGGGTACAAAAACTGCCTCCCTGTTCTGCCTTCACAAAACCTCTTTTCTGGAATACTGAATTTTTTCAGTAGAGAAAAATCATTTAATTAAGCACTTCACATTGGTCCACCCCACTTTTCTCTGCTCCTGTCCATACTTGTAAAATGAAGTATTATCACCTTGGTACCATATGGTCTATACCATAACCACTGTAATAAAATGTCTCCCATCACTGACTGGTACATAGATCTAGGAATATGTACCATCGAATGGCATTGCCACTATATAACCCTACCAAATTCAGTTGGCATTCATACAGGCTATGAATGCCATGGACTGATTGTTGATGTCATCATTAGTATGACGTCATAATTGTTTCATTGGATACTCCCCGGGCGATGGCTGTTCTATTCATTGAACAAGCATACACGATAAATATATTATTTGAACTAAATGCTGAATGATAATAAGTGTAATCCATTTTTTTATGAGATGAACAAATTCCGAAAATGGTAATATGAATTCCAAATTCTGTAATGGCAATATGAATTCCAACTGGACAAAGGCAAATCCAACTTGAAGCCCTAGCTCGCTTCATTGAATTTGCCTTTGTCCAGTTGGCATTCATATTGCCTATGAATGCAAACTGAAAGCAGTTCAATGCTTAAATGAACACAATGGGCATGAAGTACATTCAAGTATTGTATCAATATTCTTGGTAAAAGTGACATCAGTTGGGATTTTTCAAAGCATTACACATCAACTTCATTTTTTCTAGTCTGCTGTTAGACGAATCTAGACTGTTTTGTAAGGCCTTGAGAGGGGAGACCTTCTTCGTGTCAGGAGATTTCTTTACTGGAGTGGTCTGCGGAGACACTGTTTCATGTCCTTGGTGGTCAGTAAACTCTGTGTTACAATATGTAAGGCTAGCTCTAGTTTCTAATTGAGGCGACACAGTCAGTTCTGGCAAAGATTGCGGCGGGGAACCCTTGCTTAACATATTCTCTTTCTCTGAATGATAACCACCGTGTGCTGGGTTCTCCCTGTGGTCTGGTGGTCCTGCATAATACGATGTAGATCTCACTTCTTGATTTTTATATTTTTTCCTACGGTCCACATTGTATCTCTCCAGAACACCTGCAGGACGTATGGAAAAGCCCTCCAGTGAATCACACTCCGAGATATCTCCGTTCTTGTTAGCTAAGGATCGGATTAGCTTACCAGTCGTGGACTGGTTCACGTCACTACATGTAGCTGGGTTTAGTGCTGAACAGTTTGTTGTGTTTTCTGGTATTTTTGAGGACTCTGTCTCTGATTGACTGTCTGTATTTGTGGAGCTGTGACTACTGTATAATATCGGGCCTGGAGCTTTCCTCTTTTTTGGGGCTTCATCCGACGGCTGTTGCAGCTTGCCAGATTGTCCTGTTTCATCAGACTGGGCCGTTTTGTCCTCAAGGGAATTCATTCTCCTCAAGTTTTCAAACTTCTTCATGTACATAGTGCCTGAAACAATTAAAACTCAAAAGGTTTGACTCAAATTTAATATTCTATTATTAGTAAAAAAAAATGTTTTCAACAGAATATTTTGTTTTATTCATTTTTTTGTTCATTTTTTTTAAAGTGTATTTTTAAAGTTTTTCAACAGTACATTATACATAACACATTATATTTCAATCACACATTCTCAATTTTTACACAATTTGTTTTTGTTGGTTTTTACTTTTTTTAACATTCCGATATTTGTTAGATCAAATGAGATACCAATTCAGAAATACAATTATTTTCATTTACTTCCTATCTCTATACAAGTTTGAAACAAAACACTTTGAAAAATATTATAAGTTTATGATTATGTAGACATGCTGAAACCAGGATATCAAGTGTTATGTACCAGTGTACTGTTTTAGAAGAAGAAAGGAGTGAAAAGAGTAGTAAAAAGAGAGAGGAACGAGAAAAAAAAAAAGGATGAACATGGTATTATTGTTCAATTTTGTATCACTTTGTGTACATGGGACTAACCAGGTATTACCAGGAACTACATTGGTACTATACTATTATATTTAATTTACATTTCAGCTATATGGCCTGCAGTAATTTTTCCCTTTTGTCCATTCCTTTTTAAAATTAGCCAGATAATTTTATTTTATTCTGATTCATTAGAGATTTAACAATGTATTTGGTTGATCAACTAAAATTATATGCAACTACGTTATACCTGACCACAATATACACGGCAAATTTCTCATTGAAGTCAAGATGGCAATTGTTAATATCAACGACACTGACATGCCATAAAATTGATTGCTTAATGGCATCACAAACATTTCTTATGTCGGTGTCTAAAACACAAAATTGTTCCAACTTGTTTTATTGTTACAAACATCATTAAGCCTCCAGCAGAATGACCTAAACTTCTGCAAAAAAAGACAGAAAATATTCAAATATTACCGAAAAGTTATATTTTTTTTTATGGAAGTTTGAGAAACTTTAACAAAGCTGTCAATCCTTTCTCATTAAGAGAGAAACTTTAACATAGCTGTCAATTCTGTATCATTAAGAGAGAAACTTTAACATAGCTGGCAATCCTTTCTCATCAAGAGAGAAACTTTAACATAGATGTCAATCCTTTCTCATTAAGAGAGAAACATTAACATAGCTGTCAATACTTTCTCATCAAGAGAGAAACTTTAACATAGATGTCAATCCTTTCTCATTAAGAGAGAAACTTTAACATAGCTGTCAATCCTTTCTCATTAAGAGGGAAACTTAAACATAGCTGTCAATCCTGTATCATTAAGAGAGAAACTTTAACATAGCTGTCAATCCTTTCTCATTAAGAGAGAAACTTTAACAAAGCTGTCAATCCTTTCTCATTAAGAGAGAAACTTTGACATAGCTGTCAATCCTTTCTCATTAAGAGAGAAACTTTAACATAGCTGTCAATCCTTTCTCATTAAGAGAGAAACTTTAACATAGCTGTCAATCCTTTCTCATCAAGAGAGAAACTTTAACATAGCTGTCAATCCTTTCTCATCAAGAGAGAAACTTTAACATAGCTGTCAATCCTTTCTCATCAAGAGAGAAACTTTAACATAGCTGTCAATCCTTTCTCATCAAGAGAGAAACTTTAACATAGCTGTCAATCCTTTCTCATCAAGAGAGAAACTTTAACATAGCTGTCAATCCTTTCTCATCAAGAGAGAAACTTTAACATAGCTGTCAATCCTTTCTCATCAAGAGAGAAACTTTAACATAGCTGTCAATCCTTTCTCATCAAGAGAGAAACTTTAACATAGCTGTCAATCCTTTCTCATCAAGAGAGAAACTTTAACATAGCTGTCAATCCTTTCTCATCAAGAGAGAAACTTTAACATAGCTGTCAATCCTTTCTCATCAAGAGAGAAACTTTAACATAGCTGTCAATCCTTTCTCATCAAGAGAGAAACTTTAACATAGCTGTCAATCCTTTCTCATCAAGAGAGAAACTTTAACATAGCTGTCAATCCTTTCTCATCAAGAGAGAAACTTTAACATAGCTGTCAATCCTTTCTCATCAAGAGAGAAACTTTAACATAGCTGTCAATCCTTTCTCATCAAGAGAGAAACTTTAACATAGCTGTCAATCCTTTCTCATCAAGAGAGAAACTTTAACATAGCTGTCAATCCTTTCTCATCAAGAGAGAAACTTTAACATAGCTGTCAATCCTTTCTCATCAAGAGAGAAACTTTAACATAGCTGTCAATCCTTTCTCATCAAGAGAGAAACTTTAACATAGCTGTCAATCCTTTCTCATCAAGAGAGAAACTTTAACATAGCTGTCAATCCTTTCTCATCAAGAGAGAAACTTTAACATAGCTGTCAATCCTTTCTCATCAAGAGAGAAACTTTAACATAGCTGTCAATCCTTTCTCATCAAGAGAGAAACTTTAACATAGCTGTCAATCCTTTCTCATCAAGAGAGAAACTTTAACATAGCTGTCAATCCTTTCTCATCAAGAGAGAAACTTTAACATAGCTGTCAATCCTTTCTCATCAAGAGAGAAACTTTAACATAGCTGTCAATCCTTTCTCATCAAGAGAGAAACTTTAACATAGCTGTCAATCCTTTCTCATCAAGAGAGAAACTTTAACATAGCTGTCAATCCTTTCTCATCAAGAGAGAAACTTTAACATAGCTGTCAATCCTTTCTCATCAAGAGAGAAACTTTAACATAGCTGTCAATCCTTTCTCATCAAGAGAGAAACTTTAACATAGCTGTCAATCCTTTCTCATCAAGAGAGAAACTTTAACATAGCTGTCAATCCTTTCTCATCAAGAGGGAAACTTAAACAAAATTCACCAATCTCCCTCATTCAAGTCCAAACTCACACAAACTCAAAATCTACACCCTTTGGTCAAAGGGTCTCCTAGTTACTGCAGGTTGTGTGTAAGGATCATGACAGAGGTGTCCGAATCAAACGAATGCTTTTTTGGAGTTATTTTGATACATATAAAGGGAAAGATAAATTGAGCAAAGCAGTTGCAGGCATATTTTATGCACTTTCTCCCTCATTGGAAATGAGTAATGAGGGAGATATCTCTCATTGGGGGTTTCAGAGGTTGCGACTGGGCTCGGGCTCTTCTATTGACCAGGTTCCTCATTGGGTTAGAGCAACAGTATATATGACCAGGGTTTGAATCATATTTTTTTCCCCCATTTATTGCAGCTTTTACAAAATATCTCCCAATTTTGGCCTCTTCCTCTCAGTTTCCATTTGATTCTCTGGTCCCATGAAGCTTCATAGCACATGATGGGTGCCAGGTTTTAATGCTTTGAAATTACCAGGTAAATATTTTGAAAATTCAAGCTCAAATATTTCTATAATCATGTAAAGAAAACTGCAATATTTTGCTTTGCTAACCTCGGAATCTTGAGTTGCCTGGATTATCCTTGGAACCCATGTGCCAGAGAGAATCGCGGCTGTGAATAACATCTGGGTCAGCCAGGCCCTCACAGTTCTCGTTAAAACCGTTCGTGTCCTTCTGGGTACACCTCCAATAATTTCCATAATTGCGGGAAGTGATACGATCTAGATCTTTAAAGGCCGTGGGTAGGAGGTAACCGGACGACTGCAATAAAGATATGTACATTAAAACAGAGATAGGGAAGCCTTTCTCACAGTCAAAACTGGTTACAAGACACGGAAATTGAAAACGTTCGGTTGTGATCTACAAAACAATATCTTTGATTAAGATATTGAATCCAGATGCATTTTGCAGAGAAAAGTGGTAGTGTTCGGTTTTATATTCATTTCCTGATCTCACAAAGTCACCATTCTCTGGTTTCAAACATAAAGGTCACCATGAAGCTACAACGGGTTATATGGAAATATATATTACAGGCATCAAAAAAACTTTTGAAACTTTCTATTTTAACGGACAATCTATAATAATTTAGATCCAGAGATAAATATTTGTCATGTCTGAGAAAGAATATATATCATGTCTCTTTACGTTTCAGAATTATTTTTTAATTTTACCAGATTTACTACTGTGCAGAGGACACAATAGCCTATATATACATTTACATATAACAGAAGTACATGAAAACATTTCATGTATGATTGAGGGGGTTACATCTATAGTTGTACTCATCGATACATTCCAGAATTTCACAGACTACAAATACAGACCTGGTGTTTCTTTGCCTCCTCGTTATTGGCATCACGAGTGTGCGCGAGATAGACGTCGACCCCAGCAACAAACTCTGCCATCATTTTCTCCATAAGGATAAGTCGAAGGTCAAGTAGATGCATCACATTTTTACAGGCGGCCTCCAATAGAGGGCGCCCTGCTGGCCTTTCCATCCACACCTGCTGGTCTTCCTGGTGACAAAGTTTATGCATCATTCAGTCACAAAACATGTATCAGCCAGACTCCATTTTCTTAACCCTTTCATCCCTTGGTAACTTTAGTAGACTCTACTATAGCTTTATCTGGATGAGTCCATTGTGGTCCACAGTGGTGAAAGGGTTAAGAAGGTATGATTTTTGAAAAATTCTTGTCTTTAATCAATTAAGTGACGAACATTTGAAAGAAAGTAAACTGATTAATAAACAAGGGGGTCGTGCATATCACGACGCCTAGTACTATCTAAGAAATAGTGGTGGCAGACTTTCCTTGCAATATCCATGAAAAAATCAAGACTGCCACCATGGTGGTAATTTCATTTTTCCTTAATTTGGCTGGATTTGAAGTAGGCACAACTAGGAATAAGGGGATTCTGTATACTGTGTTTCATCAGTATTTCCTCATTACTACCTAAGAGCAGTAAACAAAATACACATGCAAAATTGGGCCACTTTGCTTTTTTAATCCATCTCAAATAAAGAAAGCACAAACATGTACCAAAGGGATTGTGTATACCAAAGTTCATCATGATGCATTTGGTAGTTTGGAAGGAACAGCGGAAACCGTGTGACTGACTAAAGGAACAGCGAAAACTGTGTGACTGACTAAAGGAACAGCGGAAACTGTGTGACTGACTAAAGGAACAGCGGAAACTGTGTGACTGACTAAAGACATCAATGGACCACAAACAGAAACTCATTTGAATAGCCCACCATCTAATGATGATTCATTTATACATCATTCAGTCACATAACATGCATAAATCTGGCTATGTTTTCTTCAGAAAGTATGACATTTGAACAAGAGGCCCATATGGCCTGTATTGCTAAAATTGATATTTGAGCAATCATATGGGCAAATGTTCTCAATAAAAGTAATTTTGCAAATATTTCCGTACATTGAGTCTCCTTGTGACTGACAGACACTGGACCACAAACAAAAACCCATTTCAACAGGTCACCATCTAATGTTCAAAATATCACTTCAAATATATTTTTTTTTTCAATTTACTGACAGATATTCCATTTCTTGCTGACTTTTTCACATCTAATCTCAAATAGAATTTATACATCTCTTCCCTTATTTCTAACCCATGGCCACAAGCTGTCAGATTTCTACCTTTTTGAGGGCTGCACGGACTTTCATAAGCTGTATCTGCTCCTGTGGCAGGTCAAGGTGGTCAAACAGGGAAGCCTGCAGACCCTCAACATACCGTGGCCAGTTTCCATGCCCTCGGAATGTACGGTACACGAACGCATTTGCCACCTACAAACAGAAACATACCATACAGAAATGGGTCAAGGTCACCGATTCGAAGAAACTGGAAAATCTTTCATCCCAGTGTGCCACAACTAGATATCATCAACATGAGCGTCTTGGTCATTTATTAGAGGTGGTTTAAAGATTTAAACAAATTTGACTCAGAGAGAAGGTCAAGGTGCTCTTTCAAATCAGACTTTCTTTAGTTCAAAACAACTGCAAAACAGGTTCTGTCAACTTATATTCACTTTTATTAGCCCCGATGGTAGGGCACAAGCAGAGGATCTTCATGTGGGAGGAAACAGGAGTACTTTGAGAAACCCCATATGGTCGGAGAAGGTGACCCCCATACCTTTGTATGTTTGATCGGGAAATAGAAACCCAGCCATCTTGGTGAAAGGCGTGTGCACTATCCACAGTGCCATCCGACTACCCAACCAAACCTAGTTACATACCTTTGTATCCAACATAAATACATACCTGTGTATCAAACATAACAAGAGGCCCAATGGGCCTGCATCACTTACCTGGTATTAATCTCACACTTGTAATCTTAAAAGTGGACTAAAATACAGCTACAGGCAGAATATCAGTGCGACCTTGAATGTCAAACAATGACATTAGATTGAAAGTGGGTCAAGGTCATTCATTTGAACAAATTTGGTAGCCCTGATTGCTACAGGCCAAATATCAGTACCCTGGGCCTTTTGGTTATTGAGAAGAAGTTGTTTGAAGATTTTAAAGACATTTGACACCTGTGACCTTAAAGTTGGTCAAGGTCATTCATTTGAAAAACTTGGTAGCCCTTCATACCAGCATGCTACTGGCCAAATATCATAACCCTGTGCATTTTGGTTATTCAGAAGAAGTTGCTTAAAGGTTTGAAACATATTTGACCCATGTGACCTTGAAAATAGATGAAGGTCATTTATTTGAAATAACTTGGTAGCCCTTCATCCCAGCATGCTACTGGCCAAATATCATCATCTTAGGCCTCTTGGTTATTCAGAAGAAGTTGTTGAAAGGTTTTGAACATATTTGACCCCTGTGACCTTGAATATAAATCAAGGTCATGTATTTGAACAAACTTGGTAGCCCTTCATCCCAGCATGTTACTGGCCAAATATCATCACCCTGGGCCTATCGGTTATTCAAAAGAAGTTGTTGAAAGGTTTTAAACATATTTGACCCCTGTGACCTTGAATGCAAACCAAGGTCATTTATTTGAACAAACTTGGTAGCCCTTTATCCCAGCATGTTACTGGCCAAATTTAGACACCCTACACCTCTTGGTTATTCAAAAGAAGTTGTTTAAAGTTTTTAAACATATTTGAACCCTGTGACCTTGAATAAAAATCAAGGTCATTTATTTAAACAAACTTGGTAACCCTTCATCCCAGCATGTTACTGGCCAAATTTAAGCACCCTAGGCCTATTGGTTATTCAGAAGAAGTTGTTTAAAGGTTTTAAACATATTTGACCCCTGTGACCTAGAATATAAGTCAAGGTCATGTATTTGAACAAACTTGGAAGCCCTTCATCCCGGAATGTTACAGGCCAAATATCATCACCCTAGGCCTCTTGGTTATTCAGAAGAAGTTGTTGAAAGGTTTTAAACATATATGACCCATGTGACCTTGAATATAAATTAAGGTCATTTATTTGAACAAAATTGGTAGCCCTTCATCCCAGCATGTTACTGGCCAAATATCATCACCCTATGCCTCTTGGTTATTCAAAAGAAGTTGTTTAAAGAATTCAACATATTTGACCCCTGTGACCTTGAAAATTGATGAAGGTCATTTATTTGAACGAACTTGGTGCCCTTCATCCCAACATGATTCTGGCCAAATATCATCACCCTAGGCCTATCGGTTATTCAGAAGAAGTTGTTGAAAGGTTTTAAACATATTTGACCCATGTGACCTTGAATATAAGTCAAGGTCATTTATTTGAACAACCTTGGTAGCCCTTCATCCCAGCATGCTTCTGGCCAAATATCATCACCCTAGGCCTTTTGGTTACTGAGAAGAAGCTGTTTAAAGTAAAATGTTGACGACGGACAGACGACGGACGACAGAAGACGGACGGCACACCATGCAAAAGCTCACTTGGCCCTTCGGCCCAGGTAAGCTAAAAACCTACCTGTGTATCAAACATAATTACATACATGTGTACCAAACATAAATACATACCTGTGTATCAAACATAAATACATTTCTGTGTATCAAACATAAATACATACCTGTGTATCAAACATAAAAACATACCTGTGTATCAAACATAAAAACATACCTGTGTATCAAACATTAATACATACCTGTGTATCAAACATAATTACATACCTGTGCATCAAACATAAATACATACCTGTGTATCAAACATGTTACGAAGATTAACTCCAAACTGGTGGTGTAGGAGATCCGACGCCAATCGACAATCGTGCATCACCTGTGAAATCAGAACAGTTCATACTTTGATACACTGAATAAATGACTAGAACTACTGCTAGAATGGCAGATGTGTACCCCCTATCTGCACTAAGAACTAAAGACAAAATTAGGTCTTCCAGGGCTGCTTTCATTTTTTTGCGATAAAGGTGGGACCGCTTGGACCAGAATTGTTTGTTTATGAAATGAGGTTGGACCTAGAAATTTGATGCTGCTTTCAGGCGAGCCTTGACAAAGCCCTGCAAGGCCTGCATATACATCTGCAGGTCTGCCAGGATTAAAACCGTAAAAATGCTACATTTGAAAACAGAAGGACGCATAAACAAACAGGTCTGACAATATTTTTAAAACAAAAGGGCAAAACTCGAAAACTGGGGAGGTAACTGCAACCTATACATTGTTTACATTATCTCAATGCTAGTGTTACATGAACCACATATCATTCAAACTCATGAAGTTAACTTTGGGAGGAGTAGTGTGAAAGAAATTTAAACAAAGGTCATAACCCAATAATAAGGGGAGGTAACACCAGTTTACATACTTAATTGACATTTCTAACATTTCTCGATATAAGGGTTTTGTGTACCTTGTGTTATTCAAATTGGAGAAGTACTTTCGGAGGAGTGGTATGTTCATTTTCTCTTTACATAAAGGGGCATAACTCCCACAAATATTAGCTGATTCAAAATATCAATCGCAGGTGCACAACTTCAAAGTGCGTTGTTTATGTCAGTGATGTTTCATGTAATTCGGCTACAAAATGTCAATTGTGTCTACAGACAGACAGACGGACAGGTGGACAGACTGACAACTGGATTACATACATGTATCTTCGTTGCGCGGGGATATAAATATTCTGTAGTCATTTCTTGGTAAAACCTAAAATTCGTTCAATTTCCAGAGATCATCACCAGCCATACTTCCTTTTTTCAATTGTGTTTGTAACACATGATGAAACTTCATCTCAATCTTTCATTATGCTTATCAACTTTACTCAAGCTAATATCAGTGACCTTGATCAAGGGAACTAACTCCTACTGTGTTTTACAGGAAAATCTAGAATACCAGCATTTTTGATACTATGGCATCTCTAACATGCAGTTAAATTTCCCGCTTACGACTCACAACACAACATTACCTTCAGAACACTACCATCTTCTAACAGGTCCTTCAAGCCTTCCTCGAAGCACTCCTTTCCCATACTCAGTACATCAAACAGAAAGACACGTTGGCGTATGACGATATTTAGCCAACAGAGGGTTCCTGATCTTCCAATACACACGCCCTCCAATGCAACTCCTATTATCTTCTGCGTGTAAATCTCTCTCAACTGTAGGAAGACAGGGAGATAGGGTTTAACATTACATCAACACTGTCCACATTGACTTGAGTCAAGACCATAACAAGATGATTTTTCCCAAAGAATTTTTGCATTCAAAGTGTATCCAAATGCAGCAAAAAGAACTAAATGGAACAGTTTTAACTATGTCTAGAAACATTTAATAGCCGTCAAAAAGCTTAGATGGAGGAGGGCAGAATGAAATTGGTACAATTCAAATAAATCCGGGAAGGTTTCATATCTAGGAGTAATTATTTTTGGTAAGGTTCAGGTTTTTTATATATATATATTGGTCAGGCTAGCAGTAAGTAATAACGATTTACTACATTTCACATCAGTGAAATATCAGAAATTATCAGTGTGACAAAAACTTGTATCTTCACTGCAGTAAAAATATAAGATATGATATAACTTCGAATGTGATAATATAAGGCCCAGTATCAAATTGTATTGACCAATCAGAATGGTGTTGTCTATAAACTGCAATTAAAGTCACATATTTTCTGTTCCTGCTACAGATGAACTGACACATTCATTTATCACATTATTGTACGCAAATCTCATACAATTATAGCAGTGAATGGTAGATTTGTGCTAAATAGCTTATTCAAAATAGCATCCAGACTTGTCATCAAGCTTGATGCCATTACAAAATTGTGCTAAAGATTACGCTACTTAATCCTGCACTTTGCCGAGGCAGTAATGTTTCTTATTATTATTTCTGTTTTACACGTTAAAATCTCTTAAAAAGAAAAAATATTTTTCATCCATGCTTTTGCACCTGTGAACAATATTGATATCGTGCCATACTTATATATACAAATATATAGTGTTTCAACGGTAAAGCACTAAATATCCTCACTTTTGCCAGTAATTATAAGGTATTTAATTCTATCAACTTGGTAAAACTGATATCTTTCACGCCATGCAAGAGATATCAAGAGCGATATTTTCACAGTGTGACGTCGAAGTATTTCACTCATGTGGCAGAGTGACAAGGATCTGGGTATATTGAAAATGTGTGAACATACCATATGATATAATATCAAAGTTTTACTTTATACGTAAACAATGTACATATTAAATGTGTCTCAACGTTTCTAGACCAACTGGTCCCTCTTGTCATGACAACAGGGACTAGTCGGTCTTGAAACGTTGTGACACATTTGTTGCGACACATTTAATATGCACATTGTTTGTGTATGAAGTAAAACTTTGATATTACATATTTCCAAACTGATGAATCTTATTGAAGTGTGAACATACCACTTTATCAAACTTCCTGCCAACCTTACTGATGACCACAAACAAATCGTCTGAATTTCTATCATCCTGGTCACTGGAATCATTGTCGGAGCTCTTGGATTCTGAAAACATTTTAATATGACATTAAAATATGTCGGGCTTCCCCACCCTAGACTCCAGATTTTGTTTATGGGTACCACCCATAAAGTTTGATCAATGATTTTCTTACAAACAACCTTGGGAAGAAGTGTTTAGTTTCGGAGTTCTGGGGTAGGGGTAGTTTTTTTCTGGAATAGCTCTTTTTCTGTGTTTATTTCATTTATTTTGTACTCAAAAGTTAATAAGTTTTGCTCATGTTCTGATAATTGAGAGGTTTTGAAATAACTGTTCTTTGTTTATATTAGAAAATATCATTATTCAGATTTTAGATGAAAAGGAAAGGAACAGAGCAGGCAGACATTGTTAACCTAGATAAATAAAAGCACAATTATAAATGGAGTTGTTTCCCTTTGACTGCAAGGAGTAAATACTGCTCCCCAAGGGCCATGTCCTGATCGGAAAATGCAGAGGGTAAGAAAACACCTATAATGATAATGTATGGAGACGGTTGCGTCAGACATAAAGTAATTTTTAGTTCTCACCAGATTGGGGTTAACCGAAACCCTGTAACCTTTTAGGTACATTTGAATACAAATATATAGACATTTATTGACATTTTGATGAAAACCATGTTTAAATTTGTGCACAGATGTAAAAAAAAAAAATGAGAGTTTGAAAAAGCAAATAAATGGATAAGAAGAGTTTTCTTCTCTTTGTGTACTGTTAAGTGTAACTGCCTATTTATCTACTTGCTATATCATTTATGGTGATTCTATATCAGTTACTGCTAAAGCCTGTGCTTGAAAATGATTCTGTTATTTATTTGACAATGAGTCGTAAATATTTTAAATTTACTTTTATTTTTGAGTTTGATGATCCATAAGAAAACTGTAAAATTCTAACAGAATGCATACCCAACTTCACCGTTTGCTCCGAATCTGATTTTAGATCTTCTTTTGACGATATCCTCTTCAGTTGCTTATCTTTGGAGTCAAACGACCGCAGTCTGTCCAAGTGGACAGGGGTGTACTTGGAGAACATCATACGAGGACCAGACTCCCTTAAAATGACGAATAATATTAATAGCATATTTCGCTTTTACAAAGGGGTATTTATTCTGTATAAAGTACATTTTATAAAAGAAATGCATGATATTAATCGGAATGTGACTTTAACAGAAAACATATATTTCTGACGTATTCCAGCTGTTAAAACTCGAAAGTGACCACCATTGATTCAATGGGATTTCTGATTTTTCGGCAGATGATACCAAGGTATGATGTCCAAATTACATGAAACACAAGCCATACAGAAAGACAAAATTTGTACAAATCAGATATGAGAAGGAAACATCAAAACAGAAATTATTTCACTGTATGAAGGGAATTTTTCACTCAGTCAAACATTTGCCCCTCGCCAGAATGATCCATATTCGCCCAGCGTTAATTTCATCCTTCATATTTAATTACTGTGCATATCATGTTGTTTACTGATGTTAGCTGTAATGATACATTCCCCTTTTAGATCATGGTTTGGCGAGAAAGGCGAAAAATTAAACTACAGTGAAAAATGTTCCAGTATACAGTCATTACCTCATAGATGCTGATAGATGAACTTCAGAATGAAAATAACTTAAAAATTTTCTTTACAAATGATTAAATACTAAAACTGATACCTTCTGTCGGTAACCATGAAGTCTTTCTTCTCCTCCTTCTTTGACTTTATTTGCTCTTCCAGAACATCAACTGTATTAACAAATACCACAGCATTAAATCTATCAGTAGAACGGAGCGGCAAATACCACAGCATTAAATCTATCAGTAGAACGGAGCGGATAATATGCCAGAAATTACTGTAATCATTGCTGTGATCACCATATTTTAGTATGTCGGCATATATATAGGTAATAAAATGTTAAAATAGACGGAAATGAGTATGTATGCTATTGTGGTTAAATATCATCGTGAGAATGTATGTACTCTATGACAAATGTGGACATAACAGATATAGGTTTATGTATGTATGTGCCTGTATACAAATGAGTGAACGTTTTGTTGTTTATTGTACATGTACATTGCATTGATGAAAAATCTGAATAAAAAGATAAAAAAAAAAAAAAAAAAAAAATTTTAGTATGTCAAATATCTTACATCTTATATGGCAGCTATCAAAATCTATCTATGTCCAAACTCCTAAATTCTCTAATCCTTTTTTATCGACATGTTCACAAATTTGTTTATTCTTGTTGACGTGTACATTTGGACAATGAATACCAATATTGTTTTTAAAAATTGAAATGTGTCATTTTTGGTGAATTCAGGTAAATTTTGCAGCAGTTTGGGCATCGGCAATATTGGGAACAGTCCTCCTCAAGTAAAAAAAAAATCATACAACATGAACTATAAATTAATTGGGGCTGGGGCTGGAACTGGTAACCGAGTACCTGGTTGCGGTTCGGTTATGAGTACTATCCGGTTAGCAAATCTGCGTACCTACCAGAAAACCGTCCTAGTCAGAAAAGTCGCTCTTGACTGCCGTTTGACAGACCTAGAAAACGCTTGTGATCAGATCCTTGTAAACTTGCCTGCAGTGTTTCGACCGGAAGTGATGCGCAGAAGTAAGTGTACATAGCGTTGACAACACATGAGTGTAAAGCGAAACTACGAAAATTTCCCTGTCAGCGGTTAGCGAAATGTAACCAATTCATTACGATTTTGAGAATTTGCAACGTTTTACAACTGTATTCACAAGGCATAAGTATTGAGTTATCTTTGTTATTGCATTTCATGTATTAAGTAATCTTATTATATTTTTCATCAAAATTAAGAGCCATTGGTATGATTGGTGGCCATATTTCATTGCACAAATAAACATGGTTACCCGGTTTCAGTTTGGATAAGTACTAGGAGTGTAACAATGCATCGAAATATCGATAGATTGCAATAAATCCTTCCCAATATCAATGCATCGATTGTATATTAAAATTCAATATTTATTGCCGATTGTTCCGTCAGATATCGATTGTTTCAATAGTTATTAATAGCATCTTCTCGGAGCCTCAAACATGTAAATATCCCGGTCGGGGAATTCCCCGAAATGGTCCGAGTCATCACCACGTTTGTTTCGTATCGCTAGTCGCTACACAGATTAAGGGGAGGTCACTCTCATTTAAAAGAAAGGAACATGGCGTCTGCTATCACGATTGTCAAGAATGCACAAGGAAAAGCTGCGGTGGGGAAACACTTTGGATTTGTCAAAGAGAATGATATTGTAGATAAGAAGAGAGTTGCATGCCGCCTTTGTGAAACAATTCTGAAATACTGTTCTAACACGACGAACCTGAACGACCATATTCGTCGGAAGCACCCGTCCCTGAATCAGGATCTTCTGCAAGTTCCGGCAGCTCAGGGGAAATTGTTAACCACTCCAAGTTCGACGGCACCAACTCTAGGCCTTGCGACAATGTTTGTGACTAAAATCTCTCCAACATCTCCGAGAGGAAAAGCAATTACTGGGGTGATATCCCGATTTATTGTGCAGGATTTACGGCCGTTTAGCATTGTCGAACACGCTTGGTTTAAGAACTTTTTAGAGAAGCCCTAGATAGCATTAATTGACATTTGAAATTCGTGATTTAAAACATAGTTAACATACACTACGGCTTAATGTTTTCTACCCAATAATATTGCAATACTATCGCAATAAAATGTGCAATAATAATAATATTGCAATAGTTTTTCCGCGATAGCAATAATATTGCAATTGTGAAATTGGCCGCAATAGTCACCCCTAATAAGTACATTTGTATACACGGTTATCAGACTGGCATTTTTTCTAATCGTTGTAGCCCTAAAAATAATGCAGTCCAGACTAAAGCTTCTAGTGGGTCAATTTGTGAGAGAAAAAATCTGTTTCATATTGCACTTAAGTCATTTTCAGTGCTTTTTTCTTGAAGAATTTAAACCTAAACCAATTGGAAGTAAATATTTATATGAAAGAGGAGATAACTCTGTTTCCCTTACAGATTTTGTTCTCTCTTTCCCTATTTAGTACTTAAGTCATAATTTGTTCTGTCCAAGGCAACTAACCTGACACTAAATCATCCCTGAAGAAATGTTTGAGACCCTGGAACTTCTTTCCTGTTGATGGAATGGTCACTGAAACAAAAATCACAAACCACAATCGTTAAAATTACAACAATTATATACATATTATTACATTGTAAAACTGGAGTGCCCAGAGATAGAAAAAAAAATGCTATGACCTGCAACTAGTACCTGGTGACTGACCCACACAGGCCTCAAACCCAGGACTCAGTGGTGGAGGGCTAGTGAATGTGGATGGTCAGATGCTTTAACCACTCAACCACTGAGTAACATTTTATAGGAGTTCCCATTTCTATTATACCTGTATATGTAATTCTTAACAAACAGAAACATTTTCAATATGTATACAGTATAGTACTCAGTATCACTATGACTATTAATGAACATAGGCAATGCCTATTTGATTTTGAATAAGTAAAGAGCCTTTGAGGGAAAAAACATAGTATTGTAGTAGGACGAGGAATAGTGATAAAGAAAGTGCCCAATGCTCTACCGCTTAGCTAAAGGGAAATTCCCTAAAGCTGATGCTTGTATGGCAACCTAAGCAATGCACATCTTTTACACTATTCCCTCCTTTTTTCTAACACCAACCCAGGTTCTTTGACTCCCCGCCAATGGTTCTCCTACCCTGAACAGGGAGAGTCAACAGCATCAATTTGTAGTAGGATGAGGAAAAGTGATAAAGAAAGTGCCGTCATTGGGGCTTGAACCCGCGACCCTTGGCTCTCCAGACCCATGATTTACCGCTGAGCTAAAGGGAAATTTCCTACAGCTGAGACTTGTAAGGCAACCTTAGCAATGCACATCTTTTACAGTATTATCAAGTTATCATACTCAAAGTTAAATAATATGTTTTTATATAAATGCTGTACTGTTTTTCGTGTTGTATTATCCTTTTTTTTCAATTATTTAAATGCCTGAATATCTGTCAATAATAATAAACCTCTGATATAAGAAAAACTATCTAGTCTAATATGATTAAATCTATTTAAGCATATTAGGCCTGTAGCGGTCTTTAGTACAATATTATTATCATTAATTGACAGAATTTCATACATCTGTGGTATAACACACTTATTTGACTGACTATTCTGCTAAAACCACGAAAATAGATTAATTTTCTATCTAAGTCCGTGGCTAAAACTGACCATAATCGCAGGCCTATACTATAGGCTATTATTGAGTGGCGCGCCTAATGTGAAATGCAATCGAAATGGAAAAGTATTCGTTGATTTCTACAAATCTTCAAATGGCGTGAAAAAAACGGTGGCTTTAAACCGGACCATACCTTTCTCAAGAGTAAGCTTGCCAACTGATTGGTCCATTGAATGCACGAACCCTTCATAATCTGTGCCATTCTCTAGCAGAATCTTAACTCGTCGTCCAGTGAACTCCGCCATACTGCTACCGTGTGCTTCCGTCAAGGGAGATCACTCTTATTTCTTCTAAAGAGAAAGTGAAAGTTGGCATATATATCAATACAGTAACAAATTGGGAATTCGAGAATGGTGGAATATGATGTTTTTTCTCTCTCTCGAAAAGTACTAATATACTGACTTATTCAAATCTCATAGAGTACTTCTAAGTTAGCAAGTAGTGAATTACACAATATCTAAAGTATTATTTTGTGCTCTATAGATTCCCAAAATTAAAAAAGTGAAAGGTCATATTTTCTTTGAACGGTCGGATTTAATATTCCCTTGTTAACGAAAGTTGAACTTTACATTATCTTCTTTAGGTGAGTTCTATTACCTGTATTTTACACTTACTTGCGCGATAAAATGATACAACCAATTGCATTTCACAGGAGAATGGAAAAGGTTCAAGGTTTCATTTTTTTTTTAGAAGAGATACATGTATATAACAGAAATGTCACTTTTCATTTTTCGTCACATGATGATAAAACATCGTTTATAATAAAATACTAACAGTTTGTGTACGAGATTCTATGAATCTTTGTGATACTGAATTTTTCATGCGGAATTTTGTTTATTTCGTCGCCATGATGTGGTTTTTTTCTTTACTTTTTCTTTTTTCTTTCAATAATCTAATACAATACATAAAATTAAAAAAATGTATTATTTCCATTTTTCAAAAGTTACACTCTGTATCCATAGTAACACTTGATCACCAGTCACACAATATTATCACTCTTAATTACTTCAATGGTAACACTTCATTACCATAGTAACACTATGACCACACTTAACTTTGTCCGCACATATGACAGCCATACAACATATGAGCACCACTCAAGCATCGGTGAGTTTCAGCAGTCATTGGCCCAGGTTGTAGAGGATGAGTTGATTGGTAAGGTTAGGGACTCTGGTGTGTTTAACGTTATGCTAGATGAGTCTACAGATGTTTCAGTTCAGCAGAACATGGTAGTGTATGTTAGGTTGTTAGAGAAGGCGATAGGTACAAACTGTAGGTTAGAGCCATCAACCCATTTTCTAGGAATTAGGCAGTTGGCTACTGCAACATCTGATAGCATTCGGTCAGAGTTGGTTCAGTTGCTAGAAGACAAGGGTTTATATGATAATAGGTTGGTAGGAGTTGCTACTGATGGGGCTGCTGTGGTGGTAGGGTGTAGGAAGGGAGTTGTTCGTCAGCTGAAGGAGTTGTGTCCAGGTCTGATAGGGATTCATTGCATAGCTCATAGGTTAGCGTTGGCTAGTGGTTCAGCAGCTGATGGCATTAGGTATTTGGTTAAGTTCTAGGAGGTCCTGAACAGCATGTTCAAATATTTTGAGTTATCCCCAAAGAATATGGCTAGGCTAGAAGCTGTTAAGTCTGTGGTAGAGGGCATGAGGTGTCCTAGGCTTAAACAGGTGTTTCACACTAGGTGGTTGAGTTTCCAGGGTAGTGTTCAGTCAGTTGTAGACAACTTTCCAGGTCTTGTTAATGTCTTTCTTGAGGACAATTCAGCTAAGGCTCTATCCATGCACAAGCCCATCACTACATGTGCTGAAGCACCTTTCTCTCCTTTGTAAGGCATAGCAGAGGTCTTCCATTGATTTCACTGAGGTGAACCCCCTCTTTCATTCTACTGTTGAGGTCCTTCAGGAGATTAGGGATAGGAAGTCTGGTGAAAATTTGGTCAGGTTTCTCAAGGTAGTGCCCGCTGATCCAGTTGTAGATGATGCAGGGTTATTCACATTTGAGTTTAGGGGTCAAACTATCAGGGACAGTATTGCTCAGAAGCCAGAGTCATTCAGTTTTTGTGAGTCATTTGTGGATAGAGTTGTTAGCAATATTAGGGATAGGTTCACGGAGGAGGGGGATGCTTCTGCATTGTCTGCTGTTAGCAGGTTGTTTGACCCACCTCTGTGTTTGTCAGGAGTGTCTGAGGAGGTTTTAGATGACGTCTAGGGTCAGAGATAGAGTGTAGGCAGGAGGTGACAGGGTTTAGGGCATATGCCAAGGTTCAGGTCGAACAGTCAGAGTTTTCAGAGTATAGGAGATGTAGCTCAGTTGGCCATTAAGTGTAGGGATAGTTTTCCCCTGGTAGCCATGACTGCTGAACGACTGCTGGTTATAGGATTCAGTCGGCAGAACCTGATAAAGACTGACATTAGGAACAGCCTAGGTCCCCGCAGTCGGGTGAATCTGATGAGGATTGCTATCCATGATGGTGATATTGACTTTGAAGCTGCATTGAAGAAGTGGGCTGCGATCAAGCAGCGGCGCATCCTGATGCCAAGGTACTGAGAGACATCTTGTGAACTCTTGGAAGCGATGAACTTTGAACAGAAGTTTGGGATTACACACTGATATCCATGGACATCGTGATACCTGGTGATACAACATTGATGTGGCGCATTTCAAAATTTATTGAATACTTAATCTATGACCTATATATACTTTGACATATTTCTATTTCAGTGTAGGTACAATCATCATTTATTGATAAGTAATAGTAGCTAGATTATGTGCTTCAAAATAGTTGCTAATAGAAAAAAATAGCGTTCTAATTTTATTGAAAATAATAGTAGCTATAGGTAATGGGGACTTTCTGTTAGTCTCTTCTAGTATTTGAAGTATGATAGAAATTTGAATATTTTAAACTTTATCATATATATGTGTATTTGTTATATTGATGTATGATTGTTGTAACAATGAATAAATTATGTAATGATATAATAAGCAGTATTTGTGTTTCTTTTTACCATGAGTTCAAGTATTACAATAAAAAAGGAAGGAAGGGGAGTCGTGAGCCCCCGCAGTCACGAGCGTTCACGCGCTGATGGTGCACACATTTAAATTGGCGAAACTGAATTTAGACCGAGAGCTAGCCGCGACTGTTTACACTCTGTCAACATATCAATTACTCTTTGCCATGACAGTAATTGTGATGATTTTTATATATTATAACTATATATTATATAAGAGTTAACTCCCCTTACCCCTGTCAAAACTGTAACAATGCGTTTGAAAATGGGTTTTTTTCGGACTACATCTTTGATAAATCATTTCTGAAAAGAAAACATACCTTGTTGTACTTTTGTAAGAAATAATAAAATTTAAATATACAAAATATATTCAAAAACAGTGTTCCAAGTGTAAAAATTCAGCGGGCTAGAGTGGGATTCGAATCATGAACTTCAAATTGTACTACTTTGTCAGCCCAACTGTGCTACCGTTAGATGTTATTTCAACTAAGTCATCGTGTTTTTAATAATAGGAATCTCTTTTATAGAAAGGTGGAATGGCTTAAAACAAATATGCTTAAAAATGGAAATGTAACTAAGTTTGACCTCTTCTGGTGTTTTAAACAATAAGAAATCAACCGTCTTTACCATCAATTCACATCTATTTAAAACAGGGTTTATTAGAATATTTTCAAAACGGATATGGAAACAATGCTATATATACCATATGCGAAGAAGAAGAAGAAGAAGAAGAAGAAGAAGAAGAAGACGTTTTTATTTTGCCCCTGCAGAATTGAGAATTTTCTTTTGTGCTCTCCTCTTGGGGACACAAAAACAACCAAAATAAATCTGCATCGCCCATTTGCAACATTTGGTATCTAACTAATTTCTCCCTACTTCCTATAACAACCGTTCTGTTTCGAAACGCATTCCATAATTGGTAATACCTCAACCATGGCCTTAGTTTTGAACGTTCGACAGTGGGAAAATTCAAACCATTTTGGTCATTGAGCCTAATAAATCTTACTAATTCCGTCCAATGTCAGAGATCATGCTCCGTATTGGCCGGATCCTCTTACGGGATTATACCGCAGTTTAAAAGTGAAATTCTGTGGTTTTCTTTAATGCAAACTGTCATATAAAGCATTAAAAGTACAAATGATGTAACGTTTTAACATTATTTACAGAACACTTATTGAATGTGGCTTTATAAACGACAGAACATTTAACTTAACAGGCGAATTGGTCAATTTCAGCTACAAAAATTCATATCAAAGCACAGAGACCCTCAGAATTTGGCACAGCTATATTTTGGCCTAAACTAGGGTGTTCAGAGTAATTTTACATATTTTATGGGTTTATGTCGACTTTCGGTAAAAATGACACCCAATGATTACATTTATGAGAATCATTGGGTGTCATTTTTACTGAAAATCCGTCTAACCCCTAACATGTGTAATATTACTCTGAACACCTTAGTTTAGCTCCAAATATAGCTATAACGAATTTTCAGGTCCCTGTGTATCTAAGCTGTGATTATTCAAAAACATCGGACATTTTCTATTTCATATTTTACATAGGTCACGAGTAGACATTATCCGTCTACTGCATATATTCCTGTTGAGTTTTTCAACCGCTATGGCAGACATAATTAAGATTTTGCTGAATGATGTCAGGACATATGTTTTCAGCTTACTTCGCTCCGCACCATCCGGATTAATCCGTACCGTACATATTAGGATACTCGGTGTGCAGAAGGGTGCAATCAAGTATGTGTGGATATTTTACTTTATCACATAATGTACTGTGATTGGTTGAAAGTTTCACTGGTTTTATTCCTGATATTGTGAGAATACTTCGCAAGCAGTATATTTCAGATACAGTTTTTCCAAGTAGTTCAGCATGGAAGTCAATTGCCTGTAAAGCAGTTTATAATTGGGAAGAATTAATGATGTACGATAGAATGAACAACGATTCAGATTTCACAAGATTTTTGCTCATTCATGATGTAATTTCTCCACATATTTTATGGACAGTAGCATTAAAATTCCCTGAACATCTAAGCAAGATAAGCAATATAGTTCGATTATGTGCTAATTTAAGATCAACAAATATTATTGAATTATGCCATTTTTGTGGTATTTTACATAATGACTGTATAACACATACAGTAATCCATTGTACAAAAACTGAAAGTCTTAGAGACGATCTATGGTGTCTTATAAGTACGGCTTTTGATATAGAACTTGGCGTGT